CATGCCCAAGATCCCGAGAGGAGAATGGAGGAGAAGGGATTGCGGCGTGACCATCCCCCCTGGGGGGTGATTTCTCGCTTTCTGTCTCTATGTCTCTGTCTGTCTGGCGAACACACACGCCCTATAGTGAAAACCTCTCCAAAAAAGCTCCTCAATGAGCAGAACCACTCATTTGCTGACTCCCCTGTTACTGAGCACCTGTGACAGCATTTCTCAGCTTTCTGCCCTTTGTAAACCCTGGCTCCTCCCTGGGTCCCCTGCCCCCTCCCCTGAACTTTCCTTGTTCTTTCTAGTTTTCCCTTCGTTCCTCTCCTGCCCCTGAAGACAGGCCTGGGAGGAGCCCTGGGATTACTCTTTGTCACCCCACTCACTTGCCTGTCCCATTTCCTTCCCCTCAAACAGCATTTCCGTTTCCTAAGCCGGCCCTGATTTCCCAGCTGGAGCGAGGCGAAGCACCCTGGCGCTTGACCCCCCAGGGGGCCCTGGATGGACAGTGTCCAAGGGGCACATCTTGTGCAGGTGAGTGAGGCCACGTGCCGGTCATCTGACTGGTTCCCTTGTCTTGACCTTTCCAGGATAATGGGTGTGTGTTCTCTTGACCCAGTGTGGCTGACAGTAGTGAGAGTCCCTTTTTACTCTGCATTCCCCTGGTTTTACACCTTTCAGAGATCGTGTTTCTTTCATCCTGGCCGTTCATGTCCCGTCTTCATACACCTGTTGTCTCACCTCACCGTCTCGTCTCTGCTGTCTGGATCATGGCTGCCATTGAGCTTGGCTCCTTGACTCTGTTATTCTCTGATCAAGGGTGACCTTTCTGATTTCTCAGTCTGCTTATAGTCTTCCAGCAGAAGACTGGCTGCCCTTGGAGATATTTCGGTCATCTTTATCCTTACAAATCAAGAAATCTCGGGGGACCAGCAGTTAGCGTAATGGCTATGTCGCTGAACTCCCACGTAGCTGACTGTGGTTCGGGTCCTGGACCCGGCGGCTTAAACTCACACCGGGCACGTGTGCGTGCGTGCCCAAGATCCTGAGAAGAGAATGGAGGAGAAGGGATTGTGGTGTGGCCATCCCCCCTAGGGGGTGATTTCTCGCTTTCTGTCTCTCTGTCTCTCTCTCTCTGGCGAGCACATGCACCCTATAGCAAAAATCTCTCAAAAAAAAAAAAAAAAAAAGGAAAGAGACCTCAGGAACTCTTAGTCAGATAGTCCCTGTTCCTCAAGGATCGCCCTTGGGGACAGCCCGGGGTCACTGTATGCCCAACACAGGGCTCTCCTGCTCCTGGTTTCTTGGCGAGAGCTATGTCTTCCTGTCTCCTTGCTGGGCCATTTCGTCTTTTTCCCACAGGCTTGTCTGTGGACAGACTTCAGCTGCCCTTTAACCTCTCCATCCTCACAGTTCGTTGCTGTGTATAGCAGTCTTTCCTTACTAGGATACTCTTTTATTATAAAGATTCAAACCCAGTTCAGGGGCTAGCAGATGTTGTAGCGGTTAAGGTGTTGGACTGCCCCATGGCTGACTGCAGTTCAAGTGGCGGCTTGAAACTCCCTGTGTGTGTGTGTGCGCGCGTGTGCGTGCATGCCCGAAACCCTGAGAGGAGAATGGAGGAGAAGGAATTACAGTGTGGCCATTCCTCCTGGGCGGTGATTTTTTTGCTTCCTGTCTCTCTCTCCAATGAGTGCACATGCCCTATAGCAAAAAACAAAACAAAAAAAAAAGAAACAACTCTCGAAAAAAGCAAAACAAAACAAACAAATAATACATTTTGAACTGGCTTAAACAGTAAAGAGGAATGTATGTTTCATGTATCTGGGAAATCTGAAGGTAGAGTGGGTTGCAGGTACCAGTTTGATGAGAATTTCAGTCTCTGCTTTATCTTTTTTTTTTTGGAGAGATTTTCACTGTAGGGCGTGTGCGCTCGCCAGACAGA